TTTACAGCATAAGGGATATAGTCAATAATATTGTAATAACTTTGTGTGGTGACAGACAGTAACTAGATTTATTATACTGATCATTTATTGTGATGCTGTGTATATAAATGTCAAATTACTATGTTATATACTTGAGATTAATATAATATTGTATTTCAACTGTATTTCAATTAGAAAAAAGAAAAAAATGAATTTCTTATTAATAAAGTGCCTGCTTCAGAGCTTAGCCCTTTTTCCTACTTGGAAAAAATAAAAAATAAAAATTGACAAAAATAAATAACAATAAAAACTCATATGCCAGGAAGTGATACATGTTATGGGTAAGAAAAAGGGAGTTGGGGGAAATTGGAAGGGGAGGTGAACAATGAGAGACTATGGACTTTGAAAAACAATCTGAGTGGTTTGAAGCAGCGGCGGGTGGGAGGTTGGGGGAACCAGGTGTTGGGTATTAGAGAGGGCACGGATTGCATGGAGCACTGGGTGTGGTACAAAAACAATGAATACTGTTATGCTGAAAATAAATTAAAAAAATGATTTAAAAAATAAAAAGGTCAGTTAAGGGATTGGAGAGTAAAGGGGGTAGAAATGGGGATTGCTATTTTATATTTAAGTGTCCAGGGAAGGTCTCACTAATAAGATGTCATTTGAGCAGACATATGAAGGAAATGAGACCCAAACTATGTTAGTATTCAGAGGACAAACACTGTAGGCAGAGGGAACAGCAAGTACAAAGCCCTGGAGGTGGGATTTAAGACAAGTCAAATATAGAATGTCCTAAATAGAATCATTACATTTTCTGACTGACTTATTTCACTTAGCATAATACAGTCTAGTTCCATTCATGTTGTTGCATTTTCCTTAATCTTGTTCCTGCATTTCTCAGTTCAGTGGATGGCAACACCATCCAGTGCCTTGCCTAAGTGAGAAACTGCAGGGCATTGGTCTGATGGGTTATGTACCTCCTCCATGACACTGGCTGCCCTAAGGCCAGAATCTGTGTCTAGTTCACCATTAAGGGTGTGGCACTAAATACAGAGCCTGACACAGCTGTGCTCAGAGAGTGGTAACATCATTCTGGTGGATGCTGGCAACTAAGTTTAATATTAGACCTGAAGATGCCTCATTTGACTATGTTCAACAAACTTATGGCAAGCATTAAGTTTGTGCTAAACTCTCTGTCGGGTGCTAAGGATACAAAGATGGGAAATTTGGTCTGGCTCTGTACAATCAAGAGAAACTTGTGGGGGCACCTACATGTCTCAGTCGGTTAGGCATCAGCTTTTGGCTCAGGTCATGATCTCAGGGACCTGGGATCAGGCCCTGGTTGGGCTCTGTGCTCAGTGGAGAGTCTGCTTCTCCCTCTCCTTCTGCCCCTCCCTCCCTTGCTCACAAGCTCTCTCTCTCTCTCAAATAAATAAAATTTAAAAAAAAAGAAATTTGTGTATAAGAGATCATAGACTCATGTGTGTTTATATCAAAAAATGGTTTCAAAGTCATATAAGTTCTATAACTATGAAGATCTATACATTGGATCAGGAGACTAACAATAATAACAGCAACAGTAACTAGCATTTATTTAGGGCTTTGGATGTATCAGGCGCTGTGAGAAATACTTAAATGAAATACTTAATTCTTACCCCAGTTCTGTGACATGGGTACTATTATTATTCCCATTTTGCAGAAGAGAAAACTGAGATGCAGAGAGGTAGAATAACTTGCTGAGGTCACACCACTCCTAAGGGATGGAGCCAGCATCTTAGCTCAGGTGGTCTGGTAGCAAAGTCACTACACTATTCTGCTTGCTTCTCTGAGAAGGACAAACTTAGCTAGCTGAGCCTCAGTCTTTTAGCTAGACAATCATGGTCTTACACACTTTGGCCCCAGACCTATCTTTTTTAGCCCTAATTTTCAGTTTTTTCTCTCCCCCATACAAATACTTTCTCTCCCCCTATATCCATAGGCACCAGCCCAAGTGTCCAGAATCATAGCTCTTGCTCAACCTACTACATCCTCTCACACTGATGGGCTTTGGACTGGGCAAGAATCCTTTCCCTACTTTTCTGACTTGACATAATCATTAAGGTCATCCCTCCAGGGAACTTTTCTCTGAAGCCCCTTCCCACCCTGGGGGGAAGGAAGCTCTTCATCTACAATGCTCCCGATCACTTTTGTTAGACTTCTAGTCTAGCATTCAGCTCCTCTAGGAACTCCATCCACTGAGTGCCCATTCTCCCAGAATGTTACCAATGTACCCCCTCTTCCCAATGCCTATCACCAGGCCTGGCATAGAGGAGGTACCCATGGAGCATTTAGAAGCACTGTATTCATGTGGACTAGGCTGTCTACCTAAGTTTATGAAATTGCCTCCATACAGCCTGCACATCTGTTCTCATAAGCTTTTCACTGCCACCACATATCACCAAGCAGCAGAGGTATTATCTCCATTTTGTTAGTGAAGAAACTTAAGAAAGTATTCTTGCTCTCTGATGACTAGCCCCTATAGTGATCAAACAAGTTGACCATGTGTCAGTCAGCATGTGGAAGGGGGGCCTGGAAGACTTTCTCTTTGAGAAGGCATTTTGAGGTACAAGTTTATGCCCACACTTGTAGTTTCCATACACTGTCCCGGAGAAGAGTGGACCATATAAATCAGGATTTGTGCCACCCCCCCCTTCTTCCTTAATATACACATACACAATCTCACCCTGAGACTTAGAAATATCAGGACCAAGAAGGGCACACAGCTGGAGGACTTCATTAGCATGTCAAATACTACTTTTGTTTTTCTAAAACCCTATATCTTTTGGACCCAGGCCAGTGTTCAATATCTGTCCATCCCAAGGCTAACAGATATAATGGAATGTTTGGCCGCTGGGAAGAGGACATAGAGAACTATCGCCTGTGACAGGAGTAGCACAGGAGTACCTCCTTGTCTCACAATTATTCAAGCCCACCACTTGACTGTTTTGCACAGTTCCTCTCTCCCTATGGAGAGAAGTAGTGGAGACTGCTCTGGCCCTGTTTTTCTCTGGGCTCTGGGATTTAGAAGCTGTCTTCTTCATTTGGCCTACTTCAGAGAATCAGGGTTCTAGGTGAAACACGAACAAATGGCAGGCAACCAGAGGCACAAGGCAGTTGCAGAAGCATATGGAAGAGGCACCTGAAAAAGGTCACTTCCAAATCAAGTCTAACAAAACAGGTCCAACAAATGAGAATCAGGACTTTGCATTTGCAAAGCAGGAAAGCACAGCTCCAAGGAAATATTATGGTTCAGCCATCCAGATGGGGGAAATGAAGGCTAGGGAGGAGAAAGTAGTTGCCCAGCAAAGTCACACAATGAGCCAGTGGCTCCTTACTACCTGCCATTTACCTAGACCCAGGACCAGAATAGGAGGTCTGATGTTCAAGTTGCTCTTTTTTGTTGGAGATGTATAGAATGTCATGGAAGGTCATAGAACATCATGGAATATTAGAGAAATAACTGATTTCAACGATCAGAGTTGGAAAAGATCAAGGAGCTTATACCTTATACCCTGCTTGCAGAGATTAGGTGATAGACCGTCCCAGAGAGGAAAATGGATTAGCCAAGGTCATACAGCAAATCTGAGGTAGAGCTGGAACCAGAGCCCAGCAGGGGCAAGCCATGTCAGTTCCTGTGCTCCACACACAGCAGAGGCAACAGTCCTCCTTTGTCCTGTCTAGCTGCTGGATCTTTTCAAAGGCAGATAGGACCCTGTAGAGCAAGAGTGAATACTCCTTCTGAAATGCAAAAATAGCAGGCATTGTTCTCTAATCTTTCCTCTCTTCAACTTTAATCCCCCCACCCTTTTCGATATGCTGAGTTTTAGGGGTAGCTCCTTCTGGATTTTCTTGAGCTAGTGGTAGAACTGGATTCTTTATTGCCTCAGCTCACTAGTTAGTCCTTGGCAGTCACTTACTGCCCTCAGGCTAGTTAAGACCCAAGCTGGGGCTGGTCACCTGCCACATCCCAAACACAGAAGCCAGCAATGCTGGTACAGGCCTCCTCACTTTATCTTCAGCCTTGACCTCCAGTAAGGGCCCAGATAAGAATTTTCTCTCAATTTCTAGACTTTTCAGGGACAGGGAACTGCACAAAGCCTGGCTTACCATGAGAAGTTTGTGGGGTCCTCTAGAGGCCTTGGAGATCCCCTCTTGTTCCATGAAAGGTGTGAAATTTGGGTGAGTGTCAAACTACAGGAACAGGTCTCTCCAGAGAAAAATGAGAGCAGCCTAGGGAAGTAGCCTGGGGTTCTAATTCCAGATCCACCCCCGTCGCTGGCAGGTTAGGTGACCTCAGGGAAACGCTTTCCCTTCTCTGAGCAACAGCAGGCCCTTGGGTAATGGGTGCAAACTGACCTCAATTGTCCCTAAGGGCCCTGGTGCGCCTGAGAGGCCAAAGCTGGGGCATGTACGCTGCAACTGGCTTTCCTGGCAGGTAAGTAATCCCTCTGAACAACCTGGCGGCACGCGCCGCGCCTGGGAGCCCGATCTCTACAAATAAGGTTGGCCCAGCGAGGCGCCAAGGGGCTTTGCAGTCCCCCAGGTTCCCCAGCCTCTCCACCCCGCCTCTCCTTGCCCGTCTGTCGCTCTGGAATAAACTGCCGGGTGGCGGCCAGGGCGCCTCAGCACGATTGCTCAGCGTCCACGGAAATGGGAGTGCATGTAAAACCGAAACCGAACTCCAGGGCTCCAGCGAGCCCCATCCGGGCGGAACCGGCCCAGCGAGCTCACTGGGCCGCCCAGCCACAAACCGCCCAGTGTGGGGGGTGGGAATGGGGAATCCTGGCAAGGGGCTCTTCACCCTCTCCGCCCCCCAGCAAACACCACGCCCGCGCTTATTTGCATTTAAAGGGCAATACACCAAGGAAAACAGTGGGCGGAGGGGGACACGCCTTCCCACCGTTGCGATTGGGCCAAACGCCTGCCAATCAGGGCGCTGACGCCCCACCCTGTGGCTGTGGAGTCCATGGGGAGGGGATATGGGGGAGCTCCCCCAAGCCTGGGGAAGGGGACCCAGTACAGGAGGTGACTGGAGCCGTGGCGGCGGCGGCGGCGACGGCGGCGGCGGCGGCGGCGGCGGCGGGAGCAGCGGTGGCGGCGATCTCAGCCTCAGCAGCCTAGGCTCGAGCCCTGGCCAGGGCGGCGTAGCAGACAATAACCGGGCTGGAAACCCGACCCGGCGGGGTAAGCGTTGTGCGCAGCCGGGAGCCTCCGCCTGCCGGCCGTCCGGTGTAATCCCGCGTGCTCCGCTCTGGCCGCCTGAAGAGGGGCTTCAAGGGCTGGGCCAGTGGACATCCAGGCCGCTCTCCGTTCCCCCTGGGAACCCGCGATGAGGACTGGCTGGTGAGGGGCAAAGCAGAGTCCCCTGGGCGCGGGCGACCGCGGCTAGAGGGGGTACAGAGGGCGGGCAGGCAAGCAGGCTAGCCTGGGCCATGCCTCCAGGATCTCGTGGGAGGCGGGGATGGGGCCCACACGTGCTACCGCACTGACCCGGGAGGGGAGCCACGAGCCAACACCCCCAGCGGTGTATTTGTAGGCCGGGAGCTCCACAGCTTTGTTGTAGCACATTAGCTGGAACAGCTGTGTTACGTGGGTATTGCTCACGCCAGCGGCCCAGCTGCCTCCCCTTCCCTCCCCTGCGCATCCCCTGCCTCCTTCTCCCCTCTGCGGATGGAGCCCGCGCGCTGGCCTGGGCCCAGTGGATACTGGCTTTGACATGGATTGGGCTAGCCACACTGTCTGCCTCCTCTCTCAGGGAGCTGAGTTGGGCCTGTCGGCTGCCCACTTAGGAACCTCGGCCTTGTGGGCCCCAACCAGCCGCACCCCCTGCTCCTGGGCCTCCAGGCACATCTGGCGCCCGCCCCCGCAGATAGGCGGGCTGGCAACGGAGTTCTTGCTGGACCTTAGTTTAGAGCTGCAGCTCAGTCTAGTACTTGGGTTAGATCTGCAAGGCCGCTTTGTCCCCACTCACCTCGCCTCATCTCCCCTTGCAGAGCTCTGGCCGCTTTTCTCTCTCCCGCCTCCCGTTTAAAAATAGCGATAAGCATCATGTTGGGGGGGGTAATTTCTGTGCCAGAGGCCAAGGGAGCAATTATTGTAGTAGAGAACGCACCCTCTGGGTCTGTGTGAGAGAGCTACAGAGACAGCCAAACCCTCCAACTTCGCAGTTACTTAAAATACACAGCCTGCTGAGCCGCTGTCATTGTCTACTGCAGACACCTCTGACACTGGTGACCACCTGACTGCAGGACTTTGCCCAAGCGCCCTGGTGAAGAGGGGCTGTGCCCTCCATGCGCTCCACAGTCCAGGTGCCCAGGTAGCAACTGCACTGGCCCCGCAGAGCTGGCCTTGGTTGGTCAGTCTCATCTTGTCACAGCCCACAGGGTCAAGGGGAGCCTCCTTCTACACACAAACATTTCCCTCTGTGGCTCTGCCAGCCTGTCACATAGTCATGGGCATGGACTAGGTGGAGGGCACTGTGCTGTTGGACTCCCTGCCCTACCTGAGGGCATTTAGCAGAGCCCTCTCCCCGCTTCCCAGTGCAGCTCCACCCATCACTGCTCAGTCACTGCACCATGGTTTGCCTCTGGCAATAAACTCTAGGCTTTTCCAAAGAACAGGAGAGAGGGAGTGACCAAGGGGCCTGGCAAGCTCTTCTTGGACCTTTGACCAGCCTCTGAGGGTGGAGAACCCTGTGGACTGCAAAACTGGGGTGTTTGAGAGGAGTAAATCCCTCAGTTGGGGGAAAGCTAGCTGAGGACCTTTGTGACACCAGCCAGTGCTGCAGATAATACACTATAGTCACTTCTTGCCACTTTGATCAGGCACCAAAGGAAACCAACCCTCTATTTGCAGCTGGGTATCTCCAGCACAGGGCTGGACCTGCTCTCTGCCCTGCCTCAAACCAACAGCCACCTATTATATCTTCTCTGTATAACTCCCCTCCTCACACCCAAATCCACTTACCCACACTGTGCAAAATCTTTTTCCCTCTCAGGTCCCAGCTCTGGGCCCACCTTCTCCTGAGTGTCTTTTCTGCCTGTCTCTTCCAACCCATAATGACCTCTTCTTGCTCAGAACTCCTACAGGCTTGCCTGCATCCCTTGGCTATTTGGGGGTTTAAATTATAATAGGAGGCAAACTATAAGTTTCCCTGCCTCTACTTTGTCTCCCTGATATCATGGATGTCTAGGTTCTTTCAGAACCCCTCCAAGGGGTAAATGAAACCTTGAACTCAGCCACAACCCTCTCAAAGCCTAGCAATGCATAGCAGTTCTTGAATGCTCTAGAAAGACTTGCTGTCTTTTTGGAGCTTTCAAGAAGACCTTTATCTCTCCAAGTTGCACTTGTCCTGATCCATATGAAAGTGCTTAGGGAAATGATACTCAATGCTCAGATATTTACTGAGTATGCCCAGTGAGAATGGAGAAGGGTGATGGGTTGCAACCACAAGAAAAAAAAATCATGTCTCCCTTTAACAAGCTCAAGATCTGTACTACCCAGGCCTCAGACTACATATATCTTTCATTGCTAATTCATGAGCCTCGAGACATACTACATGGAGAGAGAGGAGAAATCTGTATATGCAGGGTGATTACCCTGGAAACTTCCAGAAAGTAGAGGGGTTTGGCTAGGCATAGTAGTGGCATAAGCAAAATTAGGAATGCAAGGGGGTTGTTGGCAGCCAGGCTGAGAGATGTGACTTAGTCTTTTCTGGTTGAGATTGTTGGATTTAAGGTAGAGAGGAGGTTGGTGCCCAGTGGTAGGGATCCTCAAATGTGAGGCTGTGGAATGGACATCTGATCTTGGGAGAATGGGAGAAGGAGCCATTGAAGAATGGAAAACTGGGAGGTTTTGATACTTCTATGTGTGGGTAGAAATATGCCATAATAATATGGGATTTTAGAAAGGGGTCTTCACGATTGGAAAGCATGCTATAAGGTGGAACTGTAAGAAGTCACCTTTGGATCTGGATGTAGAACTGAGGGGCAGCTCTCTCTGGAGGGAAGTTGTACCATGTTGACTTCCTTTAAGCATTTTGGGGGAGTGAAATTGAAGGAGGGTGCCTAGAGTAACTACATACCAATGTGGTAGAGGCTAAGTATTCCCCAGGCCTCTGCTGATCCCCATCCTTCCAACTGGACAGGCCTTCAGGGAGCACCAGTTTGGGCTCCTGTGCTTACAAGATGGAAAAACAGTCTTGGAAAGCAACAGGGACTTCCTTACAGTCACACAGCATGTGGGAATGGGCTGCTGCCTCCTGTGCAAGAGCTCTTACACTGTATCCCACTGTCTCCAATGGCCCCTGTTTGATACAAATCTTACTAAGCAATCTCTAACCTTCCTCACCTCTTCCATTCCTCAAGAGAGAGGTGCTGGGTTTGGGTTGGGGGCCCCATCTGGAGAACTCTACTTTCCCTTTCATGTCTATTTTGCTTCTTGGTCTTAGTCTGCAGCCTGTTGGGGGCTGAAAGTTTCTGAAGGAGGGGAGGTAGCTGGAAGAAGTTGGAAGTCCACACATTCTCTCTTAATATAGTGGAAGGGTTAACAATTCCTCAAAAACTTATATTTACACTGGCTGAAAGTGTGTGTATGAAGTGTGGGGGCAGCCCTGCTCCGCTGGTGCAGGGGAATAAGGAAATAAAAAACAGCAAGCCTGACAGGTCACTGGCTTGCTTGTAGAAACAAAGAGGGAAAGGGGGCTTCCAGACCCCTCACTTTCAGATTGGCTACTTGAGGCTAGAAGAGGGCATGCCCAGTGTTATTTCATCAGTTCCCCTGCCTTAATTCAATCCAGGCAGATAAACTAGATGATAAAGATAAAGCCTCCAGAGGAGGCATTTCCTCCCTGTGTCACTCATTCCTTGGCCACACATCTCACACTGCCAGGAAGTTCTTTCTCAGGGCTAAGCTGAGCCTCTCATGCTGTATATAAACCTTGTATGCTTGCACGTGTGTGTGCATGCATGAGTGTGTGTGTGAGTGTATGTGTGTGTTTGTTGGGGGGTGAGGTTGGGGGCAGCTGGCTATCATTGTTCTTGCTTAACAAACCCCTGACGATTTCATGGGCATTAAACTGTCTCTCCCCACTCCCAACTACTGTTCTCTGAATTAAATAATTGCCTTGGTCTTGTTCTTCTCTCCTTGGTCTTATTTTTCAAACCTGTGTATGTGTAAGTGTATCTCCAGGAAGAAAGTTAAGGAAACCAAAACCACTGAGGAGGTGCCCGCTGAGTGAGGGTGCATTGCTTTTCCACACCTCCTCTTTTGGGATTAGGGAATAATTATGGACAATGAATAAAATAATATGAGAGGCCTTGGTGGCAGCAGAGGTAGGCATACTGGTGCCGCAGGGGCATTTTGGACCTTTTGATCTGCAGTTCTTATTGCAGAGCCTTCAGTGCTTTCATCTCCTACAGTTTTTGTTTGTTTTTTCCCCAAGCAGATACTAATCCAACTTCTCCAGGCAGGCAGAACTCTTCAGCCCTCCCTGCTGCTCAGGGGAGAGATTGCTGGGCCAGTTCTGTTCTCCCTCCCCTCTGGACATATAGGACATATTTGCAGGCCAGGCCTAGCGCATTTTGAAAAAATAGTGTTGGGCAGTGTTCTCTGGATGGAGGCATGAGGAGTGAGGCTGGGCTGTAGTGCAGTGGTATACTGAGCCCAACCATTAAGGCATTCAGGCCTCCCACTGAAGCCTAGGACCCCCAAAATCACATGGCCCCATCATGTCTCCTCTTTCTGCAGCCACTAGAAAACTGGGCACAGGACTACTCTTCTCCCAGCTTCTCACACAGCCTAGGGCAAGCAGACCCCTAGTTCAGTGTCCCATTTCTAAATGGGGAAACTTCTAAATGGGGAAACTAAATGGGGAAACTGAGGCCCTTAACAGGGAAGGGATTTGCTCAAGGTTACATAGGAACATAAAGCTCTTGCCCCTCCTTTCAAGATTTCTTCCTCTAAGTACACTGATACCCTGATTCTGATCCCCTCCCAAGCCTGTTTCCTTACCTGGCCTCTTATATAGGGTATGGTATATATAGGGAAGTGGATACATGGGAAAGTTCAGGGTCTCCATCGTTCATTTAGCCCAGCTGTTCCTCTTCAGGCTTTCCTTAGCTGCCTTGTCATCTCTGTCTCCCTGGAGTTAGATCCTCTTATTCTTCATCTGAACTGGGTGGGGG